CCCCAAAACCCCAAAACCCCAAAACCCCAAAACCCCAAAACCCCTTAAAAATGAAATATAATTGAAATTTAAAATGTCAATTCCTCAGCAGGTTGCTCCAAGTTCCTTCGAATTTAAACCTCCTAAGGTGATTATAAAGAAGAAAAGCATTAACCCAGACAAAGAAAAGTGGATGGACACCAAACCTTTCTTTGGTGGGTTTGCAGCTCAGACTAAGAATCAGCATCCTACTATCAGTAATCCAAAAGGACAGAACCTATCTACTAAAGCAGGGGGATTTAGGCCTCCTGAAATGGGAAATAAGGAGAAGAAAAATGATGAACATCCAAATCTAATTATTTTTAACTCAGCTAATGAGAAAAATACATCTCATCGTGCTTCTATTAGGATAAATGGGAATCAATCTGGGTCTGCAAAGAAGAAAATGAGGACTACTACTAAAGCTGGTGGCTTCAAAGTAAATATTAAGAAATAAAAGCAAGCTGGATGACCTCAAAAACCTTAAAAATATTGGTGATGATCACGATCGTTGTGCTGCAGACCCAATGATCAAAGAAATTATCCAAGACGATGAAGAGGCTGATGATCTAGCTGAAGTTATCCCACACAAGAGATTCTCTGCTTCTTTGCCAAAGAAGCTTACTACCAAAGCTAAGAAGGAGTCTATTCCTGATTATACTGACAAATCAATTGGAGAGATAATCCCAGCAAAAGATCTTCAAAAACTAAAACAGCAGAAGGTGCATAAAATTCAAGGGCCTTTGTTTGAGGAAGTAAAGCCTGATAAAGGAGACAACGCAATTAAACCTGACCCATTCCCCACATCTAGGATTGAGAACATATTGAACAAATACTCTGAAGATATAGCTGAGGAAGAAGAATATTACAAAACTAAACTTAAAGAGAAAGAGGATGATAAGAAAAAGAAAGAAATCAGCTTAGAAACGCTCACAAAATTGATGGCCCATCAACGCCCTGTTCTTCAGACAACCTTTGAACCTGTGATGCCACATGATACTAAAAAGCAAAAAGCAAAAGAGGAAGAAGAATGGTTATATGCCTACAGGAATGAAGAATACTACGTCCAAAAACGCAAAGAACTTGAAGAACTAGAAAAGAAGAAATCTGAAGGCAAAGGGACTAATCTAGGAGGTGGTTTCTCAAAAAGTTTCAAAACCTCTCATAAATCTGACACCAAAAGGAACTTGTCAGGTCAAAAGGCAGGAGGTTCTCCTAACTCAAAGGGTCACCTTAACTCTCGAACTGCTGCTCAGCTTGATAGATTGGCTAATATTAATCTTGAAGCATCTAAACAAGACATGGTCATTGATAAAATGTATGCTGAAATACAGGAAAAGAAAAAGATCGATCAAGAAGGTCAAAAGCAGAAGAAAGTTATAAAAGATAAGGTAAAAAGAGAAAAGCCTACTCCAAATGTCCCAAAAACTGGTCTTTACTCTGTTAATAACTGGATTACCCAGATAGAAGAGACTGATCCTGAGAAACTTAAGAAGAATATTACCCAGAAGAAAGCTGGTGCTAAGAAGGTTACTCAGACAGTCGAAAGGTTGACTCAGCCTAAGAATGCTAAACCAAAGAAAGATCCTAGTCAGCAAGAGCTATGGGCAATTCTTAGCAAGTATGGAAATGCAGAGAAGATTATTGGTAGAGGAGGGAAGCAGAGTCAGAAATTTAAGAATCCTGCCTTAGTACAAAAGACTCCGTCTCCTGTAAAGAATAATACTAATCTCAAAGCAAAAAAATCTGAGGGTGTTTCCTACGAGAGTCCAGAGATAGAAGGCCAGAAATACCAGCTCTCTAAAATAAATGAAGAAGAGATGAGAATAAAGGAGGAAAATAAGCTTCTAGATACCCTTATCACTACTCAAATCCACACTGAAGCTAGCAAGCTCAGTGACCGCTTCTCGATTGATGACAACGTTCGAGATAAAAAGCTTAGTGATCAAGATGATAATAGCTCTATAGATTTTGATGAAAATAATGATGAGTTGCCTGAAAAGGAGGAAAATAAGTCAACTCTTGAAGAAGAATCAGTTAAAATTAGAAATGTGCTTAATTTTGTTAAGAAAAGAGTGAATCCTTCAGACAAGAAAGCAGCCATGAGAAGTTCAATGGACTCTCTGAATGATAGAACCTCACTCAATAAAGATCTTGCCATGGTTGATGATCTCTCTGAAATGAGTGAGAGGGATATTGATCTTGAGGATCAATATGCCCAGATGCAGCAAAAACAAAGCAACTTGATCAAAGAAAGTAGCCAAGATAGTTACAGTGATATTGATAGTCTGAATGATGTTGACGAAGATTTCCAAGGAATTTAGAAGCACAAGTATTCTCACCTGAGATAGAATGTATTTCAAATTTCAACTTTACAAAACCAGGAGGGGTTTTGGGGTTTTGGGGTTTTGGGGTTTTGGGGTTTTGGGGTTTTGGGGTTTTGGGGTTTTGGGGTTTTGGGGTTTTGGGG